ACATTTATCCAATGAAAAGCCTGAGTCTTGGGGACAGAGGGTTGAACTGAGCCCACCAGCTCCCCGTTTAAGTGAATTTTCTCCACCCTCCAGCTACCTACAGGCAATTCCTCTTTTAGGAACTGAGGTTTATATAAGTTATAGACCTGTCCTAAGGGGCTTGCAGGTTCCATTGGTTTCCTTGGAGGCTGGGTTCTAAGTCACCCTACATTGAAATCTCTGTTCCTCCCTCAGTATTTTGCTAACTTTCTCAGGCTGCCCAGGAAGGAAAAAGCAGAGAAGAGAGACTAACTCCCATAGTGAATCAGATTGGATCATATGATGTTGGACCAAAGGCTGTTGCAAGACCTAAAGGGCAGCCAGGCATGGTGGCACATGCCTGTAATCCCAGCAGCTTGGGAGGCTGAGGCAGGAGGATCATGAATTCAAAGCCAGCCTCAGCAAAAGCGAGGTACTAAGCAACTCAGTGAGACCCTGTCTCTAAATAAAATACAAAACAGGACTGGGGATGTAATTCAGTGGCTGAGTGCCCCTGAGTCTAATCTTTGGCACACACACACACACAAAAACCCTTAAAGGACAAAGGGCAGGTAGAAGAGGGGTTACAGAATGTGCTTCAGTATTAGAGCAAGATCCTGGGCATGGATGTACATAATATTTTAGAAGTGGGTTTGTAAGACGAGCCAGAAGAATTTAATGTTACATTGATTTAACTGCTGCATCTAAGTTAGCTTTGATTTCTGAAGCAGCCAGGACAAAGACAAAAAGTTCACACTGTTTCCCTGAGGGACAGACACGAGAATCCCTCTATGTACCAGTGACATTAGAAACTTCTGGCTTCAATTGAGACAGAGAGCCAAGTAAAAGTGAGTACAAGAGCTTTCAGCTGAACGGGTGTTGGATTTGGGGGTCTAAGGTGATTTGCCTCTGTCTTAGCAATGGACAGTCTGAATGCAGACTGTGAGGGTTGGCTAGAGCTCAAGAAGTGCCTTCCTCTCCTCCCTGGGTAGGTATCTTTTAGAGATGAAGTGCACACAGTGGGAATCATGGGAATGAGGGAAGCAGTGAATCCCTGTCACAACTGGAGGGACCCTGTGGTCCAGCATGGATGATACTGGAAAGAGCCACAAGAGACCTCTGTTTCCATCCCACTCCCCAAACTGTGGTGCAACGTTGAATAGACCTTTCTCTTCTCTGGGCCTCGGGTTCCCCATCTGCAAATCTTGGTTTGGCCTCTTGTCTTTAATACAAGGTGTTCTGGGGCACTTTGGGCAGGGCCTGTGGCAAGAAAGCTGCTATGTGGTACAGATGAAACGTACAAGGTCTCATGCGAATTGGAAAGCCATGTCACCTGAGAGTCTCCACAGGGTCACAGTAAGAAGCAATTTAATTTTTCTAAAAAGCTAAGATTAAAAAAAAAAGAGTAATTTTACAGTGGAGAATCATGACAGACTCTGCCTTGGCCAGGTGATCAAGGTCACCATTGATAGTGACAAATCACATTGACAGATATGTCCTTGATGTGATGTGATGAGAATGGCATTTTACCTCTGTGTTCTTTCTTCCCCAAACCCAAAACCTAGCGTTATCATGAGAAAAAAAAAAAACCTCACACGAACCCCAGTGAGATGTTCTGCAAGAATACCCTTGAGTGCACCTCAAAACCATTAAGATCTTCAAAAACAAAGAAAAAACTGAGAAACCGGCAAGAGGAGCCCAAGGAGGTGTGACAACTAAATGCAATACGGGATTTTGAGAGGTTGGGAACTGTTCTGTTACAGAAGCTCTGGGAACTCTGGCAGGGAGAGAGAGAACAAGTTTGTGACAAAGGTGACTAGAATGGCAGGGGATGGGAACAGGCTGGGTGGGCAGCAGGCAGGAGACTGGAAACACCACCGAGACAACCCAGCAGGCGGGCGGGGAGGGACAGTTGCTCTGGGCTGCTGACCGAGCTGCCCGGTCTGATCTGGGCAGTGTTTTCATAGAGCACTGAGAGGTGACTTGGGTAAATTGCCCCTCAGCAAGGTGGGCTGCGGGGGACAGTGTTCAGGACACTTGGATCTTTTCTGGCTGTCAGAGCCCTGAATGAGCTGAGTGCTCCTGGGCAAATCACCACTGTTCGGATTTTTAATTTCTAAAACTGTGTGGGACAGCCAGGGCTTGGGTGGGTGTGGCGGGCCATTTGTGTTACTGTCACTATTTAAAATATCACAACCATCCTTCAAGGATTTTATCACTATCCCCATTTATCACATTAGCAAAACCAAGGTCTGAAGCCGTTTCCAAAATCACAAGATCAGTAAGTGGCAGGGCTGGTTTTGAACTTGGGTCTGTCCCTGAAGTCCATTTTTTTTTAAACATTTTTTTTTTTTTGTAGTTGTAGATGGACAGAATGCCTTTATTTTATTTTTATGTTCTGAGGATTGAACCCAGTGCCTCACCCATGCTATGCAAGCACTCTGCCACTGAGCTACAGCCCTGACCCCTGAAGTCCATTTTTAACTATTCCATGGGCTGCTCTCCAAGAGCAGATCCCCACATTCCATGGGCAATTTGTTCATTTCTTTAAGGGTACTTGTTGCCCAGTCAAGTCCCAAATCTGGTCTCAAAATACTGCTGAAAAGTCAGGGTCTCCCCGTCCTTCCCCCTGGGGAGTGGGCACTCGAGCTTTGGAGAGTGGCCATCCTGGTTTCTCTGCAGAAGCTGGATAGCCCTGCTCACCCAGGCCTCCCCAGTGTCCCCCAGGATTCCAGCCCGTCTGGCCCCTTTAGCTGTCTTAACTGAGATGACAGCCTTCGGGTGTTTTTTAAATTAAAATGGCTTGTTTCTGTTCATCTCTTTTCCAGATGTCACTACCTAGAGGGAATCTGTCTTTATTTATTGGCTCTTTCCTGTGCAGAAGCCAAGGGAGCCTCCCTCTGGCTAAGAACCCCCGGGAAGGAGGCCACATGTGGGGAGCAATTTGAACTACAGAAACCTGGGGTCCCCAGGGGGGTCAGGACGGGGGTCACGGTGGAAACTGTGGGAGGTGAGCTTGCCATTAGGATTTTCCTCTGGGCACGTGGCACATGGCACATGTGCTGTGGATGTGAGGCATATAGCAGGCTGGCGTGTTCTCTGCTGAGCGCCATAAATTTACCAGGGGCGGATGCAGCCCTGGGCCGGGGTCTTTCCCTTTGCTGTCTGCAGCAGTGGATAGCACTCATCTGCCTATTGTACAGTGGACTGAGAGCTACCTGATCCTTTCTAGTTGGTTTCATGTTGACACCCAGAATCGTCCTTTACCCCCATGGCCTATACTTCCCTTTGCCCAAACCCAGCCCTGCTCTCACTTGGCTGGTTGCAATGGCCTCCCAACCCTGTCTTCCTGTCCCCCTTCTATCCTTTCCTGCCCATCCCCAGCTGCAGCCAGAAAATTCCATCAAAAACTCAAATTGGAGAAGACAGCTCCCACCCCTGCTTCCAGCCCTCTGGGCTTCCTCTTCCCTGAGATGAAGCCCAAATGCCCTGGTCAGCCCAGAGCCCTTCCCAGGCCCACCCCAAGCCCTCTGGTTGCCTCCCCTTGCTCACACTGAGAACAGCCTCGTGCTCCCACCACAACACCCACGTCTGGGCTTGCACAGGCCCTTCCACTTGGCTCCCTTCCCAGGTGACCCTGCTCAAGGTCAGCTCCTCTGCAAACCCTTCCCCATCCTGGCCTACAGAGCCCCAGACAATTCCCCAAAGAAGCATGAAGGGCACCGTACTGCTGCTGTTGGTACATGGGCTGCCAAACTCCCTGAGTCACCCAGAGTCCCATGAGGTCAGGGACCATGACCTGGCCGGCAGGAGGACTGCTGAGAGAATGAATGAAGCCGATGGCAGCTATGTGGGGGCTGCGATGTTTACCTTCTCAGTCTAGGACCCCCTATAGATTTCCCTGCTCCCAGGGTCCCTTGGACAATGTGCTCCTGTGGGTGGAGTCCCTGATGGCCCCTCTTGTCACTCAGAGGCACCCTATACTAAAATGAAAGGTTTTGTGTCCCCAAAGTAGATAAAAAGATTTGGTTTGTGACAGACATTCCAGGGGGGTGATTTTGAAGATGCTGCATGTGTGTTCCTGTGGGGACTTTTCCCGGGGTCACATTCCACAGACTTCCCACCCCCATCTGCTATAAGAGGTTGGGGAGGAGGACCAAGAGAATCACTGAATCTGCATTTAACCAGCCCCATCTCAAACAGTGCTGGGCTGGGCTGGGCTAAGGCACACATGTGAGCTAGCCAGGCCTACCCTGAGGAGCACCCAGTGCAGGGGACACGCTGCCCCTGTGTGCATGCCCACTCATGGTGGCGAGCACCCACCATATGAGAGCCACACTGGGAGCTGCCAGGCTAAGTGAGGACCCACTCTGCAGCCTTACTGCAGATCCCAGCTGGTACCCACCCCCTGAGCACCCCAATCCCCCTCCTCTGAATTCCTGTAGAAGGGGCTGTCTTCCCTCACATGAAAGCTACCCCTTCACTTTACAGATGAGGGCAGAGGTGGCATCATGTGGCTAAATCCCCGTGAGAGGGAGCTGTGGAGCTGCGCCTTGTGCAGGTACTAGATTCTGGGGCAGTGCCCCACCCTGGCCCAGCTGCCTGTTCCCCTTGGCTGCACTGGGCACATACTTGGTACACAGTGTTCCCCAGCCACCCTTCAAACACAGAATTAGTGCCCGCCTGAGGGACTGTTCCTCTGAGAATACTCTATGAATTGAGTTGGTAACTTGGCAGCTCAGGTTGGGGAGCTGAAGGGTCACCATGGTATAATGACAAGGACCCTGGCATGGGAGTCAGGGCTGAGTCCAGGCCTGGTTGGGCTGAACACCAGTGACCATGGGGATGTGTTTTCCTTCCTGGGCCTTAGGTTCCCCATGAGCCCAGCCATGGGCCCCTGAGTTCTGACATGGGCTTAGGCACAGCAGTGTCCCCAGCAAGGCCTAGACATAAAAACAGAACTGAGAGTGGCAGTGCATTACCCCTTGCTCCTGACAGATTTGCGTCAGTCTCTCCAGCTGCTCGTCTTGGGTGACCTTGGCCTTCTCGTACTGCTGGATGACCATCTCCATCTCCACCTTCACTGGCAGGACGTATGCTGGAAGAAAGAGACAGCCCGTGAAGAACTGGGTAGGGGCAGGGCTCAAGCTGGGGAGGAGTCGGCCCTCCATTTGGCCAGCATCAGCTCTGAGGCCCTGGCTCAGTTCCCTGAAGATGGGAGGGGGGACATCTAGGTACCCCAGAAAGTACAACCTGAACTTCTGGTGTCCAAGAGATCCGTGTTCCTCCTTTCCCATGGTGATAAAACCCTTCATTTTTGGAGGTGTGCACAGCTGCTGGAATAATGAGTAATCCCCAGCCTGTGCAGCTACCAGTGGCCAAGACACATTCTGGACAATGGGGTGTCACTGGAGGAGGCATGCTGTGGCATCCAGAAGCCTTCCTTAAAAGGCAGCTGGGGTTGGTGGGGTGCAGTGGTGTTGGAACCCTCATACATTGCTGTGGGTGCGACCACTTTGGAAAACAGTTTGGCAGTTCTCCAAAATATTAAGCAGAGAGTGGCCATAAGACCCAGCAATTCTATGCCTACATACCTAAGAGAAGTGGAAACATACAGCCACACAAACACTTGGACATGAGCCTTCCTGACAGCATCATTCATAATAGCCCTAAAGTGGCAACAATCCAAATGTTCATCAAGGGATGAAGGGATAGATACAATGTGTCCTGTCTCTACAAGGAGACACTCTGGGAGGAATGATGTACTGTTAAATGTGACAACACAGATGAGCCTTGAAAACAGTATGGTAAGCAAAAGCCACCAGACACAAAAGACTACATATCATATATCTAAAATGCCCAGAGTAGGCAACTTCACAGAGATGGACAGATGCATGTCCAGGGCTGAGGGGGCATGGAGGCGACTGCTCAAGAGTATCAGGCTTCTTTGTGGAGAAAGGAAAATGCTCTAACCTTAGGTTTTGGTGTTAGTTGCAAACTATTAGTATACTAAAAATCGTTCAGCTGCTTACTTTAAATGGGTAGATTTTATGGCATGAGAATTACATCTCAATTTAGTTGTTTAAAAAGAAAAGATAGCTCTTGTATTCTGGCTCAAGATGGCAGACAAGGACATATGTCCTGTGATGTCGTGACTGGTATCCCAGAGCTGAAGGGTACCTGGACCCCAAAATTGTGAGTTATGGGTGTAGTGACTGAAGGAGAAATAGCAGTCCCTTCTCCACTATGTGGAGGACAACAAGAATGGACTATGATTGGTTCTGACTGGAGTCCAACAAGGAAGGGACCTTGTGGTTTGGAAATTACTGGTACATCCATGACTCTTCAAATAGAAGTGTGACATCGAGTATGACATTCCTATCACACATTCCACTACTGCTCTAGAAATTGCACTCCCTGCTGGATGGAAAGACAGTAAAGGTGTATAGGGGTGGATAAATACACCTCAACAATCACTTCAAAGCTTCACGGGCTAGGAAGGCATCCAAGTTTGGACTGCCACATCTCGTGGCTGGCAGTAGAAATCCCTGATCTGATTCAGAAAGGCATGATCTCACACAGGGCACTGCAGCCAGTGAAAGATCACAGTGCTGAGGGCCACAGATGGGCTACATTCCTGTTTGCCCATGTATCACTCTTTATATGCATCTAACTTTTTTCCCCCCACACTCCTCCCCTCCCCTCTTCTTTTTCTGTGTGTGTGCCACTGGGAACCCAAGGATGCTCTACTCCTGAGCTATACCCCCAGCCCTTTTTATTTTTTATTTTGAGACAGAGTCAGGCTAAATTTCCTGGGCTGGCCTTGACCTTGCAATCCTCCTGCCTCCGCCTCCTGAGTTGCTGGGATTTCACGTAAGGGAGGAAATAGTACCGGGTTGCTATGCTAGGCTGCACAGGAAGGGGAACGGCCTGGGCCTTGGAAAACCAACCGGCAATTTAAATCACCTTCCCAGGTGGAGCAGGGTGAGGTCCTGGAAGTGGGTAATGTGGGTAATGAGGACATAATCTTTTTGGTTTCTGGAGACAACCCATCAACCAAAGCTGCTTTCTCAGATAGATAAACACATAGCAGTCGGCCTTCCTTTTATCTTCTTTCTCCTTTCTCCTGCCTACTGGCTATAATGAGGAAGTGATGTCTAGCATTGGAACAGTCATCTTAGACCATGAGGTGACTTTGAAAAGTAGGCTATGTGCAGCAGACTTCCATGTGAGAGAAATAAGCTTCTGTTTTGTTTAGGTCATTGTTATTCTGGGCCCTTTACAGATGATCCTACTCATAACTCATACACACAGTAAGACCCAGAGGAGAAAGCTAGATTCTGAGCATGAGGCCCCATGATCTCTCAGCTAGAAGCAGCCCCTGCATCCCTCCCTTGGAAGTTCTCTGAGTTTAGCAGCCATGGGTTCCTTGGAAGTCTCAGGATCAACTTAACCTGACCTCTGCCTGACCTTTACACCCTTCTCACACCTCTCAGAACCCAGCCCTTCCTGATTCTTCGGAAACTTTGCTCAGATGCGTTTGGTCTTGCCACTGCATTCTAGAACTCTGCAGGTCCACACTCTGCAAGACCCCATTCCACCCATGGCATCCTCACCTCCAGATGTTCTCTGGATATTTGAGGCATCATGCAAAGAAGAAAATCAGGACTTTTCTGTTTGCTTCTAGACTTAAGAGTAGGGCACGTGTCCCTGAGACCTTTCTCCAGGTCCAGAAGCTGCCCTGAACTATCACCTCCCAGCTCCTGATGAAGCCAGTTTACTCCAGGGTGAGAGTAGCAAATTAACACCCATTGCATTCACCAGTGAGTCTCCATTGTGAGGCTCCCAGTGCCTGAGGTGTCAGGGAAAAGGGGGAACAGCTGGGAAGGGTGTTCACAGTGGGGCTGTCAAAATCCATTAGTATGAGGGTGTGCAGCTGTCCACAGCTTGCAGAAGGAGCCAGAAGGCGCCGTTCCTGCACTGAAGGGAGCGGATGTTCTCATGGATGGAGCCAAGAGCAGAGCCCTGAGCAGATGGGGTGAAGTGAACCGCCAGAAGAGCACAGGAGGGTGTCACAGATCCTGGGCTCCACTTGTAGCTCCGAGCCTGATTCACCGTGTGACCCCATTCCCTCTGGCCTCCATTTCCCCATCTGTCAAATGAGGGGAAGGGACCAGATGATCTCCAGAGCCTTCCCTGCCTTCCAAAGCTGGACCACGGCTCATTGGAGTTTGATGAAGATTCTGTATTGGAGATGAGATGACAGTGAGGAAACCAGGATCAATGTCCACTGTGTTCACAAGGTGGGATGGAGGGTGGGAACCAGGGAGAGGCTGCCCTCCTGGGGAGGGGAAACCCTGGAGGCCATCCCTGCTTGCCTTCAAGTGCTGGGCAAATGCTGTTGGCCAATCTTATAGCCACAGTTTCTATCATTAGCAGTCAAAATTCAGGGCTGGAAAACACCTTGACATATATCCCAGTGGTTCTAAACTGTGCCCCAACTGTTCCTTAGAGGTGCCTTGGGGACAAGGAGAGGGCATGGAGGTGGGCTCTGGGCTGTCTACTCTGATTCAACCAAAGCAGCTCCACTTTACACACCAGTGACTTTGGCACTGAAAAAGATAAAAGTTTGGGAATCACTGTGACAGGATTTCCATGTCACTCCAGGAGGGGACCTTGCTGGGAAAGTCAGACAACACCTCTGTGGTTGGCTCTGTACCTAGTGTGGTTGACAGAAAGTGGACCTCCTTGTCATGACCTCTGCAACCAAGGAGCACCCTCTGAAATCCAGAGACCTGGGTCTTCCCTCCTCCCTGAGATGATGTCAGCCCCCTTTCCTGTGTCTTTGTCCTCTGTGTCCCCATCCCAACACCCCACACCATTCTTCGGGGTTGAGGTTTCTAATCCCCTCCCCACCAAGGCTTCTTTCCTCTGGGTTGTCACCAATTTTAGAATATTAGAGCTGCCCAGATTTGGGCACAGCTCTCTAGGGACGGGTGGCTGAGTGGGAAGGGCAGCCTCTGCCTTGACAGGAGCAAAGGCAGTGACAAAGCTGGAGCAGATCAGACTCTTTCTGGGAATGAAAACGCAGAGATAGGAAGATGCTGAAATGAGTGAAACACCGGCCCAAACCCAGCCTGAGCCAGCCGTTCCCATGGGGATGTTTTCTGCTTGTTGGCAGGTCAACAAGCTCGGGGCACCCACCTTGTCACTGAGGGACACAGACCCAGCAGGGGCAAGCCTCGACTTAATGACCTGGACAGACTCACCACTGACTCTGTGGGCCATGGGGTGTGGGGGCAGCAGCAGGTGTGCGTCAAAACACCTGGGTTATAAAAAGTTGCTCTTCCCAGCATAGTAGGCCCTGCTGGAAGCTCTTATGTGAGGGACTGGCCATGCAGGCACACAATACATGGTTGTGTCAGAATGAATGAGTGCCCTCTCAAGGGGTGTTTGGAAACTCAGGTGTGCACATGCGACACCTGAGCAGTGTGTGAGTGGATCCCAAATACATGATGCTGAATGGCAGGGTCAGGCTTGGCTCTCTCCCTGCTGAGATGTGCCCCCCCAACACTGATGGGGACACCCCTGCCCCCCAGGGCTCTCTCCTCTCTCAGTTGATTGATCTGGTTTCTGTCAGTCTCACTGGCCCCTCTCAGGCCACTCACCGTCAATGACCCTCTTCACACGCCAGATCCGGAGCATGATGATGAGGCTGATGGCATCCCAGGGGCTCCTGGGCCCATTGGCCACGGTAGACGCCACCATCGGGGCCAAGGACAGGATGATCACAGCCCCGTCAAACACCTGCAAAAGGAAGCATATTTCAGTGCTTTGGGCCATGCCACGTGTCCAGGACCAGAGAGCAGCCTGGCAGGCAGTTGGTGCCGGTCATCTTCTCCAGGGGGCCTGAGCCTGTCAGAAGGTCAACGGTCTCCAGCTGCCTCTCCTGACCCTCCTCAGTCCTGAGGAACCTCCACACTGAACTGCTCCCGGGCATTTGGTCCTCCAAGTGACTGTAGCCCATTTCCAGCTCTTGGTTCAGATGGCCTTGGTTGGTCTTTGTCCCTTCTCAGGATGGGGCCTGCATTCTGTGCTCTGGACCCTGGGCAGAAGCTGAACTGAATCCCTGGCAGGGTGGGGTCTGATGTAGGTGTGGGGGGTTCTTCTTTCTACATGGGTAGCTGGAGTCCAGGGCCCACATGTCGTCTCTAACAGGTACAGAGTTCCTAACCCCATGGAGAATGGGGGCAGGGCTAAGAAAGGAGGGGGCCCAGTTGGCACCATTGGGCCCTGACCCTCCCTTGCCTGCCCCAGCCTGGCCCTGGCTGGAGCTGTTCACAGGCTGGGCTCTTCAAGTCAGCTTCCTGCACTGGGCCTGAGAGGAGGAAGGAGAGGGCAGCAGACCCTGGACACCTTGCATTGGCCTGAGTGCACAAAACTGCCTGCGACAGCCAGGGTTACCTGCACCTCATCTCTACCCTGCCCCCCACCCAGCCCCTTTTACCTGAAGCAGAGCAGAAACCTAGGTGAGGGGGACTTTTAGTTTCTCTGTGCAGCTCCTGACCACTGTGTCATTTTGGAATGGAGTTATTTGTTTTAAAACACATTTCAAAAAATTTTCAAGTTGATTCAAAAATAATTTTGTGGTTGTTATTGTGCTAGGGATGGAACCCACCCCCTCAAGCATGCTGAGAAGATGCTCTACCACCAAGCTACACCCCCAGCCCAAGAATAAAATTTAAATGCTTATAGAACTTCAAGGAGAATGTTTTACAATGTTCTTTTGCTTGAAACCATTTCGGCTCACTCCTTCCCAGCCTCCACCTCCTCCTCACCCCATCCCACGTGCACAGCTGAGGAGAGTCTTGTGCTCAAGGGCAGAGAGGAGTTGAGCCTTTTGATGGTTCCCACACTAGAATGAATGGGACAGTGACACTTTCCAGCAGCCAGGATGTCTGGGTTGGGGGTTGGGGAAGCCACTGATCTTTACCTCTATTTTGTTTTCGATGTAATCCCAGATCCCCAGGACCACGATCCGTAGAACAGTCTGAGGAGAGGAAGTGAGAAAAATGGTTATTGTTCTGCAATGCCTCCCTGCAGCAGAGAAGAGCCCAGAGCTCAGAATCCAGAGCACCGTTTCCGTGTTCAGTGATATGCCTTCCCCACTCCCATGCCCTCCCCATCCCCAATGCAAGTGGAGTGCCCACCTCCAGTTCTCATGGTGGCCCCTCTGCTCACAGGCTTGGCCCCTCCCACACATATTCGTGCCACTCCTGGCCACCATTCATGTCAGCCCTCACTCAAAACCCTTCAGAGCTCATAGTACATACAAAACACACTCTGAATCCCTCAGAATGAGTCTCAGGCCATGTCTCCCTCCCTCTCCAACGTCATCTCCCTCCCATTATAACACAAAACTCCTTACAAATCTTTGATCATAAAAACTCTTTTTCTTATTGCCTTGTTTTTGCATGTGGTAGAGGCTGAGGATTGACTCCCCCCCATATCTTGTCCCTCTTAGGATGATTGCAGGTGAGGCTCGGCTGCCCAGCTAACAACTACATTTCCCAGCTGTCCTTGCATCAGGAGTGGACATGTGACTAGATTCTGACCAATAGCCGTTGAGCAGAAGCACTGTGCATAGCTTCTGGATTGTGCCCTTCAATAGACCAGGCTCTGCTTTTCTTCCTCTTTCCTTCTTCCCAAAGACTAGAATATGAGTGTGTGGGTGTGGTGGGAAGCCATCTTCAACCATGAGGGGCCAGATAATAAGATGGAAGACTTCTGGGTCTCCCAAAGCCCCCAGCCACCACCAGCCTTAATTTCCTACCCTGAAAATTGTCCTTCCACGAAAGATATGAACCTTGCCTTGTTGAAGCCCATGCTTTTGGTTTTCTTGTTAGAGCATCTTGGTCTGTGTCCTCTCCCCTCTTGTCCTTCTAGCCTCAAGTCACTTCTGTGAAGCTCTTCCCCATCCCCCTGGCTCCCTGGGTGCCTCTTTCCTGTGGCTTTGTACACCATGCTTCCATAGCTCTGTGTCATGTCTTGTCATCACACACCCCATCCCTTAGCGAAGGCTTGAGAGACACCATGTGACCTCTTCCTCCCGTTCCTCCTCCCTGGCACGGTGCAGCCCTGCGTGGTGTGCATTGTGAGTGAACCAGTGCACGCCTGAGTGGACACTTCCTAATGTCGCTGCCTTTGGGAGTGGTTTTTCCACCAACAGGGCACCTTCCCCCAGAGAAGATTCTTAAAAGCTATCTTAGTACATTTGCTACAGGCTCTCCCTTGAGTCATGATGACTTTAATTCACACTGGATGGTGTCCTCCTTCCATGTGCCTTGGCACCAGGCCAGCCATCTGAACCTAGGGAAGCTGTGCGAGTCCATGGGTCACCAGCTTCCTATGCTGAAAAAAAGACTTGGCTGGTAAAATCCACTTTTCCCCTTAAGGGACTATCCTGGTTTCCATGAAGGGATGAGAAGGGGGACCCTAGTGGCAGCCAGTTATGTCACCTTCTTTGAATGTAGAGGGGAACATTGGCAGCCTGATAGCCGTTCCTCTATGCTTCCCAGTTTCTGGGTTTGTTCAGCCAGGCTTAGCTTCAAGACAGCTCCTAAGGGCTGAAGAGATCTGGGTGGGGCCCAAGATATCTTGAGGTTACAGTTTGGGAATGGGATGGCTGTATGGCCTTGGGCAAATTGAATCCCCTCTCTGGGCCTCAGTTTCCTCTTCTGATGGAGAGGTGGTTAGATGATACAATTCTTTCAGTATTGATGAGAATAAAACCTGCCATGTATATATGCCAATAAGAGCCAGATCTCTGGGTCAGCCCTCCTTGCATGTGATTCTCAGTTTACAGAGAGGTTAAGGAAGCTGCCCAAAGTCACCCAGGCAGTTAGTAAAGAGGTCAGCATTTGGGTCCAGAGGCTTTCCACTCTGCATGGTGGACTCCAGCTGGGTAAGATCACCACATATTGTCTTGGTTTATTTTGTTGTAATCTAATCCCTCTAGTTGGATGAACTTGAAACATGGTGCTTGTTTCCTCTGAAATGCTACATTGACCACATCCACCCCAGAATCCTAATTCTGGCGTTCCCAAAGCAAAAACTAGGAAAAGCCAAAACAGGTCCATCCAGATATGATTGCTGATGTTGTTTCTCCTCTTCCTTCTTTTTTTAGAATTGGGAAAAACACACCACAGGGAGCTTATCCACTTTCTCCACTCTTAGTGCACTGTTCTGCCATATCCTGCTCACGTGGTTATGCAATCATCCCCACCACCCATCTCCAGAACTTCCTCATCATTCCAAACTGAAATTCTGTACCCATTCTCCCCTCCCCAGCCCCCAGCAGCCTCCACTCTACTTTCATCTCTAGGAGGCTTATGTTGGAAACAGCAGTAAAAGGCAGCTGTAGAGAGGGCTGGGGACACACCTCAGAAGAGTGGCCTGGAGTCAGCTGCTCCAGTCAGGCTCAGAGCCAGAGTGGGAGTCCAACTCTGCCACAGCCACCCACTGGCTTATCCCCTGTAGCATCCATCCTCTCCCCAAACACCGTTTCTGAGAAGTCCCCTCTCCACAGAGACAGGGACTTGCTCCACCCTCTCTACCCGCCTGAGAACACTGGCTGACTTAGCCATGGCCTGCTGCTCTTCTCAACATGCAGGTGAGGATCCCTGCATCAGCAACACCAGGAGCTTTTGTTTTAAAATCCGGGTTTTTCTCTTGGAGACCCCAGATATCAGAATCTCTGAGTTCAAGGCTTGGGATCTGCTTTTAAAACAAAGCCCCATGGGACACCCAAAGAACCACTGGCCTGTGTGAGGTGACACTGGTCCGAGTTGCAACAGGAGAGACCACATGCCCAGCTACAACTAGAAAGAGCATTAGATGTGGTCAAAAGTCTGGTCCTCTTTCTGGCTCTCACTGTCCTCACTACCACATGACATTGGCCAAACCCCCTCAGGCCATCTGGCCTGGGAGTAGAACTACTGCCCCCGGTGCTGCCTGCCTCACTGGGGCTGCTGCAGAGCTCTCGTGGGAAGCTTCCATGCAGGGCAGAGCAAGGATGGCTTTATCACCCACCCGACTTCAGTCCCCCAGTCTTATGTCCTGCCCACCCCTGAGAGTTGCAAGGGCCTTTAAGGGAGGACCTGAAGGAACTGGGCTCCTCAGCTCTAGCTACCCCTTTTCCCACCTGGGGCCAAAGGTTTTTGGCTTCCTTCATTCCAATCCTGCCTCAGGAGGCTGCTCAGATAAGCGAGACAGGTCAGAGCCCGGCAAAACTTCAGGAATGCAATTGAATTCTTATTATGAGCCAAAATTTTCTGTCATTGACAGATGCGGAAATGGAGGCTTTGGTGGCAGGTAAATCTTTTGTCTCCTGGGTACCTCTCCTCTTCCACCTTGCTCTTCCAGGAAGAGACTCCCTTCATCTCTTCCAAGGAAGGAAAAGGTGACTTTCTCAAGGGAAAGGGTTCAGTCTTTGGGCAGCAGGAGAGGAGGGTGGGAAGTTCTGGCCCTTGTGTCTGGTCCAGGTCCTGCCTAAGTCAAGTGGCAGTGAGGACCTCCTGCCCTCCACCTGTGGCCCTAACCCTTCCCCTCAGGGCAATCAGCCTCTTTCCCTGGGAGGGGCCTGAATAGGCTCCTACAGTTTGGGAAACTTGGGGGATGCAGGCAGAAGCACCTGAGAGTCTATAAGTTGGTTTTGTTCAAATTAAAATAAGAAACCCTTGTCTTGGCAGAAGGAGATCCTTTGGCTCACTGCTTCATGAGCAGGATGGGGACTAGACACCTTTGTGCCCTGCAAAGCCACCCTAAAGTGGGGTCCCCAGCTGGGGAGAAGGGACCCCTGCAGGGCTAGCCCCTGAGCCTGTGACAGCATCCCTGGGGTCAGGGGACTGGTGGTGCATGAATTAGGGAGGTGGGGGATGACTCCTGGTGCTTCCTCTAGAAGCAGTCTGCTCTTGGGAAGGTTAAACTAAAATTGCAAGAGGAAGACATGGATCCCAGGATCCAGTTACAAAACAACAGTAAGAAATGTGGGCAACCAGTCTTGAACTGGTGAGTACTTGAGTTTTGCCAGGTGACTAGTGCTGTTTGACAGAATTGCAGGGCAGCCCAAGAGCGCCCCCTGGGGATAGGAGTGGATAAAACAGGGGCTCACAGAAGGGACCAGCCTCACTCCCTCCAAACCCCTGAGAATTGAGGGCTGGTGACCCAGGACTGCCTCTTCCCAGGGTGCTGCTTTCTCTAGGATTGTGAAGGTGAACCCTCTGAACAGACACAGTGGCTGATCCCTCCCAGGGGCCAGATTACTATTTGTCTCTCCTTGTGCTGGGGTGGCAAATGACCAAATGTCTGTCAATTAAGGGACTGAGGTCGACTGAGGGCTCACAGTGCATGGAGCACTGCCCTTGACCTTGAGTAAGGAGGAGAAAGACTGAAATACACAGGGTGGGTGAGCTTTAATTCCACAATTTCCTTGCAGAATAGGGTCATTCTCAAGTCTCCTTCTGAATGTACCCACCACCCCCACTGACCCCAAGGCTCTCTCCCTTAAGATGCTGTCCTTCCTTTCTCGCTCTCTCTCTCTCCTCCCCAGGCAGAGTCTTGAACAAAGCCTCTCCACGTAACTGTGGTAACCTGACGTTAGCCCCTGCTGCTCAGGTAACCCACTCACCCCTGGGCGACTGCACCCCTCATTGCCTCACCAGCTAGAGGGAGAACCTCCTTCTGTTCATCTCACTTATGTCCGAAGCATGGGGCTCTGCTGACTGCCTGGCTGGAAAAGTTCACCTCCTTTTTTCCCCCAGAACATTCCCTACTCTGGTTTTTCCTCCTGTCTCCCTGGCTACACCTTCCTAGTCACCGCTGCAGGTTTCTTGTCCTCTGCCCCAGCAAAATTGTTCCCCAGGGATCACTGTTTTCTCTCCTCAGTTTCCCTCTTCCATGGACAATCTTGACTTCAACTACCACCCAACAGTCTGAAACTCCCAAATCCATGTCTCTAGCCTGCTGCTCAGGAGAGAAGGGGGCATCACA